TCTTTCAGCAAGGGATCTCCCTTAGAACGGGTATATGTCCTTCTTGCTTTGAGGCATTCCTTTCTCAAGGAGGACAGTTTTTCTGACCACCAGTGCAAGGATTTTTTCCTTGGAAAGGCGCCTTTGCGACGTGGCATCGACGCATTGCAAGCGGTGACGATTATATTTCGCACCGCTCGCACCTCTCCATTTAGACTTTTCGGCCTCCTCACCCAACCAGAATCCTCAATTAAGATAGATTCTTTTAGGGACCGGCTGAACTTCTCCTTGTCGAGTTTCTTAATGTTCCACGAGAAGGTTTTGCGACTAGGAGCTTCCTGTCTCTTTCCTCCTCGTGTGTCTCCCATTGAGACTGAGAACTCAATGTACTGGTGGTCACTTGCTGTATATTCCTCAGAGACCCGCCAGTCGCTTATGCGGCTAAATATATTAGACGATGCTATCGTTAGATCTATTATCGATCCGATCGCACCTCGTCTAAACGTCCATGTTTTTCCCCGGTTTACAACTAATAAATCGTTCTTGGAGATCATTTCTCCAATCAGAATTCCTCTCTTGTCGAGCCTCGTCTCACCCCACTCTGGCGACTTTGCATTAAAATCGCCAGTGATGATGACATCCAGCTTGGATTCTATGAGGCTTGATTCTAGGTCTTCTATATTGGCTTCGAAGGTGGTCAGCGGGTCGTTGGGTGAGAAGTAGCAGCTATACATACGTATGTTAGCCACCTCTATCCACACAAACCCGCTGCTTGTCTCCAAGAACTTGTCAACCCGCAATTCTGGGTTGCACAGCTTGATGGCGGCTCTCTTCGCCTTATCCTGATACCAAGGTGCGAGGTCGCTTCCTTGATACTGCTCACTGCAGAACAGGATATCCACCTCATTTTCCCTAGCTGTTTGCATCAGGAGCACCTGTGCATCCTTACTTGTATGCAGGTTGACTTGAAGGAGCTTTAAGGATTTGCCCTTTTAAGTTTCTCCAGTTCCTCCTTGTAAACCGGGCAGGAAATTCTTCCAGGGATATGGTTGACTTCCGTTTTTCCCAAATCTGTACACGTTATGCACTTTGGCTTGTCATTAGTACACTTTTTGGAGAAGTGTCCCGCTTCGCCGCATCTCCGACAGTTTTTTGTTCTGTCGGGGCCCTTGCAAATTCGGGTCACGTGTCCATAGGCTAGGCACTTTTGACATCTTGTCACTTCTAAGTGCGTTCGGATGGATGCATTTATCCAGCCAATACGCACTTTGCCCAGCTTAAGCAGACTCTCGCTGTCCGTTTCATTCAAGCGTACTAGTGCCACTTTCGTACCACCAAAACGTGTCAGAAGTCGGCAAGTCACCTCTAATTCGGGCTTTTGCAACTTCTGCTTTAAGACGGTTAAAACGTCCTCCTCTAAAGTTGTTTCGACAAGATCCCGAATTTCGAGGGTCTTTTTACTGACAAGAGCCGTAACCTCGGCCTTGTCCAGAAGAACGGAGGTAAGATTCTGAGCGAACTTTGAAGTTTCACCCCCCTTTTTCACAACAACAAGAACCTCTTTTTTAAGAGTTCTCCTAATTTTCACAATCTCTGTTCCAGTTTCCTCTGGCTTTACCGAAGTTGTTGCCAGTTTTATGAGATCATGGTAGGTCTCTGGATTCCGGGCCACAATTTTTATTGCCTCCGTTGTTCTAATTTTGGGGGGGCGCTTCTGAAGTCGCTCCCTCTCCTCCGCTTTCTTCAAGGCCTTTTTCTTACGGGCCTCCCGTTTCCTATTGGAGACAGTTTCAAAGTCTTTTTCGTTTTCAGGCTTATTTGCCACAGTTGCCTCCGAATAAGAAGCAACCCTGGCCGAAGCAGCCTTACTCACCTCCGTCTCCATAACAGTAGGGTTTGCCTTGGTCTCCTTGCTCTTAACCCTCTTACCCTTGGGAGTGGTCACAGAAGAATCAGTCTCCGGACCTTCAAACTCTCTAGGGCGCTTCCTTGATTATTATTATTATTATTATTATTATTATTATTATTATTATTATTATTATTATTATTATTATCTCTATGAGGAATCAAAGTATTCATGAAATGAGCACCAAAATTATTTTAAAAATATACAACTTGGCAGCGGTTTTTTTTTCTTTTAGTACTCTTTGAAATAAGCTACCTTAATTTTCTTTCAATTTTTTTATAAAGCTGTTCAAGTGATACAAATTTTTGAAAAATGACGTTTTTTACGTAAATTTTTTTTAAGGAAGTTCTATCGCTTGACGCAGCTAGTCAAAACAGTGAGAAATATTTAATGATTTAACTCACTTGGTAACGTAAAACGTTTGGCAACGCCGAATTATTTCTAACCTGTGATGAAAATTATCATTTAAATTTAATGTGTATAGTGCATGCAACGTTGCCAAACGTTATAAGTGTTGTTTATATTATCAGATGAAATGTAAATTTTGTTTACAAATTGATTAATTGTAAATCTCACAGCTATTAACGCAATTGTTTTAACAGATATGTAATTATTGCACATCGGTTTAGTATTTAAAAAATTTAGATCAATATCTGTTTATTTAATACTTTGCAGTATGTAAATATATATGACAAACTACTCAATTCCCATAAGACTCAATGTTAAATGTTGAAAATCAAAAATGTTTATAACTTTTTTCATAGGTACTTAGAGGTCTCAAAAATTTAACTACGCCTTTATATTAACTTTATCTAGCTGCACATCAAGTTTTATCCAAATCTGTTCATTAAATAAATTATTGATAGAACCTCCTTAAATGCTTATAACTCGGTCAAAAATTAATCAAATTGGACGTCTTTATAACACATGACCACAAAATTTTTTTTAAAGGAAGTATTGACCGGACCATGTTTTTATATGTTTTTTGGGTCGCTTAATTCGAATCCGAACGCAGTTTTGCGCCATCACGTCAAATTCTTCAAAATGGCGGATCCAATATGGCTGTCGAATTTTTTAAAAATGTTTCAGATTTACTTGAAACCTGTTACTCGGGGGATTTTGGGATCGCTGAATACGAATTTCACTTTAGTTTTTCAAAATTCAAAATGGCGGATCCAATATGGCTGACGTATTTTTAAAAAATTTATCAGATTTATTCGAAACTTGTTACTTGGGAGTTTTTGGGGTCGCTGTAACAAGTTTCAGGCAAATTAGGTGAATTTTAAAAAAATCGACGCCATATTGGATCCGCCATCTTAAATTTTGAATATTTACGAGTTTCTTTGATTGTTTAACATTATATAATATTTTTTCAGTGTTTTAAAGTTGTTTTTTAATATAATCTTCTACTTTTCAAAATTTTTTGTAAGAAACTAGCACTAAATTAACAATTTTTAAGCCTTGTCCAATTGTGGGCAAACGATTGGATGTATTTATTTTGAAATTTTTAATTTTTATATATACAGTGAAAACGGTAGGCCTAACTTGCCATTTGACCAAATCACAATTTTACAAAGAAAGAGGCTTAAGTTTGGAGAGACTCAGTCTGAAAACACATTTGCTGTGAAAAATTTGTGCGATTTTGTCAAATGGCAAGTTAGGCATTTGGCCACCACTGCGAATATAAAAATTAAAAATTTTAAAATAAATAGATCCCATCGATTGCGCACAATCGGACAAGGGTTAAAAAACCGCTGCCAAGTTCTACATTTTTATAATTTTGGTGCTCATTTCATAAACACTTTGCTTCCTTATAGAAATAATAATAATTGAAATATAAGAATTAATTTTTATAAAAGAGTTAAAAATCATTAAATCTTGGTCCAAAAAATATTTTTTTATATATTCTATAAGATGGTTATAATAGTTCAATAATTACACATAAGTTAATAAACAAGAATGTTCAAGAAATGATATTTTCCACGATTTTTGATTTTTCAAATAAGAATTATTTGATCATTTTTGACCGAATCAGGTTTGAAAATAGGTCAATCAAAGCCTTTTTTAATGGTCTATAAGTTGGTAATGATACTTTTATATTTTTCAAAAAAAGCTAATATAAACGAAAAATGTTCAATGAAGGCTCAAAAGTTGCGTCTGAAAAACTCTACAAAACTAAAGAAAAACATTTATAGGTGTCCTAACATTTTTTTAAGTTATGGCCAAAAAACGTTTTTTTACAAAATGAAAAAAAATATAGTTAAACTTTATGAATTGGGCTGAAAATACTCTCATTTTATGTCCTCCAGGGAGACCTACAATTTAAAAAACAATTAAGGCCTTTAGCTCTTTCTCGTTCTGAGATATTGAGGCAAATGTAATGTATACACATACACACACACATCGGGACATTTTTTTAAAATCTGGTTTTTGAACTTCTGAGATAAAATTACATCAAAATTTTTTTTTTTTTATTTATAACATTTATACGGGCAATGTCCATTCGTGCATAAAGTACTAAAAGATTAGGTATAATGAAAAAAAGTTTATAAATATGTCAAAAAATCACAATCGAAAATTTTGCTAATACAATCCTTCCTCTATGAGGAAGCAATATTGTTAATTTAGTGCTAGTTTCTTACAAAAATTCTTGAAAAAAATTGATCGATACATATATTGTTAAAAATAAAATTTTTTAAAATATTTTTATTTAAAACTACGTGTGAAAACAAAACTTTTCATTATAAAGAAGTCCAATTTCATCAATTTTTGACCGAGTTATAAACCTTTAAAAAAAATTTACGTAAAAAACGTCATTTTTCAAAAATCTATATCTCCTGAACAGCTTTATGAAAAAATTTGAAAAAATCAAGGTAGCTCATTTCGAAAAGTACTAAAAGAAAAAAAATGTTTAAAAAAAATTTGAGATGCAAAAGCAAAATGGTTTCCGACTTGGCGTGGAATGCCCCATATACTGACTGTGTTTGAAATATAATGTCTACTTATAAGTCTTATTTTTAATAAGTTTTGGAACTATAAAAAAAAACTTATTTAGCAATAATATTCTGCCAATAATGTAATAATTGTTGTAACAAATATTTTAAATTTGACTTACTACGTTTATAAGAAGATTTTATTTTGTTTACACTTGCCTTTGTGACTTGCTAAGAATATGTAACGATTATTTTTTTTTCTGAAACCCAAACTTTAAACTGAATTGAGAATGCCGCTCAGAGCGACACTTTTCTTTGCAATAAATAATTATATGTTGGGACAAAGGTATATGAACTTCTGATGAGACAGCTTATTTTCTGATCTGTTTACTTATCTGCATCTTTTGACCGCGTGATTCTGTCATGTTGATTTTTTATTTTCTTGTTGCTGAGATAATTATATTGTATAACAGTCTAATTGTTTAACATAAATGTGATATAGTAAAACTTCATAAATAATCATTAAATTTAGATTTGATAAATGAAAGTACTGCGTGAAAATTGCCTGAACATTTATTTAGTTAGAACATTTATATCTTCACACAATTTTTACTATATCGCATTTATATATATATATATATAAATGGGGCATTCCTCGACAAATCGAAAATCATTTTGCTTTTGCATCTCAAATTTTTTTCAAATATTGTTTTTCGTTTAGTATTTGTTGAAATAAGCTCCTACGATTTTTTTCAAATCTTTTTATAAAGCGCTTCCAAATGAAAAATCGATAACTGGCGCGCCCATGTGGAAGGATTTCCGGGAAGTTTCCGTATGTGATTTCTGGAATTTTTTCGGAAATATTTACTTTAAAAAAAAGTATAAACAATTAATTTTTATTAAAAATAGTATATTGAGCAACAAGGGTATAAAGGCAGATATTTTTTATTCCTAATGCACAAAAGTGGCGATTTTAGATAGCAGACGACAGGAAGTAAAAGTCATTCACTTGTTCGACTTATATGAAAATGGCGTCCGTTTTCTCCCATTGGCAAAAATAACGCATGGGATCAGCTGTTATGTTTGCCTCTTGGGAGAAAATGGACGCCATTTTCATATAGTCGAACAAATGAGTGACTTTACTCCCTGTCGTCAGCTATCTAAAAGCGCCATTTTTGTGCATGTGGGATAAAAAAATAATTATTATAATTATTTTTTTCAGTAAAATTAATTTTCTCACAAAGTAATTTTAATTCTTTCCTGTCAATACTGTGCCAACATTGGGTCAGTACTGGAATTCCCTTACTGGCACTACGGCATTTGCGCTATGCTGTTGCAATTCCGGCACGCCAAACAACATATATTGGCGAGACGAAACGATCATTATTTACTCGCATAAATGAACACAAAAAAGTGAATGACAACTCTGTAGTTTATCGACACCGAACCAATTTTAATCACGATTTTGACTGGGAAAACACAAAAATCTTGGACAATGAAAAAAATTTTACAAAACGACGAATATCTGAAATGATCCATATTAAAACTAATCGTTCCACTATCAACAGAAAGGAAGATATTTTCACTCTAAACAAAACCTTCTTTCCTCTTCTCAGACGTATAGACTCTTGCCTATAACGATACACAACAATAACATAACTTTCTGACAACCTGTGTTTATATATAAGTTCATTGCCCCTTCTCGTATCAATTTGACTTTCTTATATCGTTAAATTCTAATTTTATTTCAGTTGACACTGAGACAGTGTAATGAAATGTCTTCCTTTCTAAATTTTAACTCTATTTTTAACTATTTAATGTGGAAAATGTGTTGTATTTTATTTATTTATTGTTTTTTATTTCTTGACAAGTTAAAACGTGTCTCTATGTTTTAATGAATTAGGTATGATAATATTATTGTCATTACTTTTATAAAAATAGTGCTTTAAGTCTTTATAAATATTGAAGTGTTTATTCTTTTAATAAATTCAGCCTGATGAGGTTGGCAAACCTTAGCCAACGAAACGTCGCTATACTGACAATACACATTGGATTTTATTCAATTTCCACCTTCCCATGATCATTTATTCAACAACTATATCAACTAAAATATTTCTTGTTTAATTATTTTCGAAAATAACACTATTTTAATAAAATATAAACTTCACACATTCGTCTAGTATACTTTTTAAAGCAATTATCACAATGCATTATTAGTTATTTGTCAAAAAACACGAAAGTGTCCGACTACTAGTACTGTCCGACTATACCCGCACTTACCCTATAATGATTATTAATAATTTAAATTTAAAATTTATAAAAATTTCAATATTGCATTAATAATTTATTGTTATTATAAATTATAATGTTAAATTAAATTAATATTAAATACTAAATTCATTTTAAATGCAGATATAATAATAATTATTATTAATCTGTATTCGTATTATAGTTTATGAAACATTCCAAATTGTAAAGTTAATACTTAATTTATTATTGATTCAATTAATAATGTTAATTTTTATTAATTCACATAACCTATTATGACTAAATTGAAATATAATTAATTAATAAAAATTATTTAACAGTTTATTCTGATTTATTGATAATATTGGTATTTGAATTTTACTATTTTACAGTTGCTCTTTATATATAGTAGACAGTTGAATCCAGAAATATGTAAGTCGGTTCGGTAGTCGCAGTCGTTAGGGCAGTTAGTTTAGGCACTAGGTTAGGTCATGCGTCGGGGTTCGATCCCCGTAGGGTCCAAATTTTAATTTAATTCCGGGAATTAGTTTCAAGTTGTTCCGTATGTAAACAAACTGATACTAATTAATAAAATATATTTTTTAAAATTAATTTGTTGCAACTTTTTGCATATTGTTTAAATAAATAAAACAGAAGTGGCTTAAAAATATGGTCAAAAATGAGATACAAATGGTCTCAAATAGTCACCAATTATGGGCGGGGTCAACAAAGAGGAGGGGATAGTAGCAAACTTGTGACCACTTTAAACTTCCTCACTGATCAGTTGTGATAGATTTCTGACGAGATCCACCTAGAATCGTAAGAAAACTGGATTAAAGTGGTCAGGCGGCCTGACCATTTGTCTGACCATTCCTGATTTTATTTTTAGTAGGGATGTATCGATTAATTTTTTCAAAATTTTTTGTAAGAAACTAGCACTAAATCAACAACTTTTAAGCCTTGTCTGATTGTGGGCAAACGATGGGACCTATTTATTTTTAAATTTTTATATACGCAGTGAAAACGGTAGGTAGCCAAAAGCTCAACTTGCCATTTGACTGTATTACAATTTTACACAGCAAGAAGGTTGCTTAGGATGTAATTCTCGTGCAAATTATACGGATTCAATGAATCAAAGTGGCGTATACGGTTCTCTTATCGAATGTAAAGCAATTTCAAAAACCTTTAAGGGGATGTCAAAGTCGATGCGATTTTCCCATTGAAGCTCAATGCAAAAATCCAATCGACTTTGACATCCCCTTAAGAGTAGTAGTAGTAGTTGAATTAACATTGGCACTATACTATAGCTTTCGCTGTGTATATCCGGCCATGACCAGGTGTTTGAGTGAAAAGAGGGGATCCCACATACCGATAATGCAGATCAAAAATGGTTAAAAATCTGCAACGACCGTTTCTTGAAAAATATAAGGAATTATGACCTATAAATTTGTGAAAGTCATTTTTTATTATAAATACATAGGATGAGTATTTTATTTGTTGTAATTATTAAAAAAAAATATATTGTTAGAAAATTAAATATGGTCAGTTTCCAAGAGCCCAAACTGCAACGACCTTTTCTTGAAAACAACAAAACAAAATAATTTTTCCATTTAATAAACTTAATTTTAATAAAAAATACACATAATAAGATTCATTACATATGAAAACAACAATAAAAAACTTTAATTTATGTAAACTGTTTTGTATAGCAATTTACAACAAGAAGAACACATGTGACAGCTTTTAGTAGTTCATAGAACCAAGAGATGGCGCCAAAGGTTCCAAAACTGACAAATTTTGATTATTTTTAGCTTTAAATTAACAACAATAAAATATAATGTTTTCTTTTTGAGTAAAAATTCATTAGTGATGAAAGACACACAATGAGAGAGATTTATTTTGTTCAAATTATTAAAGAAAAGTTAATGCTAGTAAATTAAATATCAAGTGCCACCGAACAGCTGTCACATATACACTTTACAAAAAATAAAGTTTTTATTTATTCCTGAATGGCAAATGAGTCTCATCCTCCGTATTTTCCTACAAAATTAAATTTCCCAAATAGAAAAATTATTTTGTTTCGTTGTTTTCGAGAAATGGTCGTTGCAGTTTGAGCTAGTAGTCAAAGATGTGTTACAGGGAAACTGCCCATATTTAACTTTCTAACAATAACTTTTTTCAAATAATTACAACAAATAAAATACTCATCCTGTGTATTCATGATAAAAAATGAGTTTTCCAAATTTATAGGTAATAATATCTTATATTTTCCAAGAAACGGTCGTTGCAGATTTTTAATCATTTTAGATCTGCAATCTCGATAAGTGGGATCCCCGTGCGTTTATCTTAAAATGTCTTTTTTCATCTGGTAAGAGTGATATCTCGAGTTCTTATGAAGCGATTTTGAAAAATCAAACGGCATTTGATTCATTGTCATCATGTTTATAAGTGGAACCTCAAAAACTGGAAAATTTACAATTCCCTTTTTATTTATAAGAGAAATTCTGAATAAAAACATGTGTTTTTTCATGTTTTAGGGAAAAAGTACTCTAAAAAAAGAAGGGGAACAAAATTTTACTTTTTTGAGGTTCCACACCTAAAGAAATATCTAACGAAGAGAATGTCACTTCGTTTTTGGTTTTATCTGTTTTAGAAAATTTGGAATCGATCTTACTATAAGAAATGGACATTTTTGAAAATGGCGTATATTGTCGACATTTTGAAATAAAAATATAATTTTTTTTTGCAAATTCTTAAATAAATTATTTGTCACATGTAAAAGAAATTTTATAAATAAATGTCATAGTTATTTTAATAATAATCCTTATATGAAACGAGTAGATATGCAAATTAGGTAAAGAGAGACATTCCGATGTTATTTTCTTTCAAAAGAGGAAGAAAGCAGTATCGTTACCTGAAGAGAGATAGTTTTATAATGTTTTCAAGGAATGAAAGAGAGATAGGTATGCGTTAAATTTTCTGCGTTATAAGCAGAGAGCAATTTATGTTTATTTATTATTACTAGAAAGAGGAAAACAGAATATGTCGCAGGCAATAAGAATAATTAGACATTTAGCTTAATTCCTAGGCATTAAGCTAAATGGTGGCAACTACCTTAATGACACGTAAGAAACTTAAATTTTTCTATTTGCCTGGATTAAATCAGGCAAATAGCCTATTGCCTAGCCATTTAGAAAATTGACAAAAGTGCTCTCGAGAATTAGAAAAATAAAAGAAGTCTGAAAAATTGAAAAGAAATTATTATTATATGCATTATACATTTTTTATGGAGATATTTATTGTTGATCAGAGTCAAATTATTGTAAACCATACATTTTTTATATTATTATTACTTTTATTAAGAAATTAAGAAAAAATTAAATATTTAGCAATATATAATTAAATTATAACAAAATAGTAATTAATTAAATAAAAATATTTAATATGAAAATTTTATTTAATTAGTGTCTTCATTTATTACAACATGTTGAGGTCTGATGGCATCGTGAGTTACATTTTATTTTTGCTTTAAAGCAAGAACACCTTTTTGTATTGCACTGATTAGATGCTACCTTACAATTACAATTACATTTTTTGAACCCTTGTCCACCAGTCATGGACTGTGGAGCTGCAGCTTCTCTGAAAGTTAATGTCACTTCTGTGTAAACATCGTTAAGTTTTAAAATTTCAGTTCCTGATAGTTCTATAGCAGTACAAAGAAACCAACCCTTGATAATCTCACTCGTAGTTTCAATTTGGTACACACCATTTTGGATATCGGTAATTACCCCAAAAATTGTTGGAAAATCTAATGGACCTCGGTCTACAACAGGAACTGCTAGTGTAAGGCAAACGCCCATTATTATTAGGGGAAATTAAGCCTCAGAAAAAGTCGCCATTTTTTGAGCTGCTACTTTCTGTCGGTTATAACAATCGCGTTGATTTTCGAGTAAACTATTGCTTCGGGCACACAAATGACATATTAGATTATTTTCTGTGGCTAAATCTAAATCTCTACATTCAATGTGGATTTGTAAACTACACTTTGTACAAAGTACACTGTCACTCAAATTCAGCTGCAAGTTGCACGATGTACAAAGTTCTGTATCATTTAATTGAATTGATTGTTAAGACGGCTCTCGATTTCTTTTTTCAGTTCCAACTTTATCTTCCTGCTGCTGATTGGAATTAGTAGGAGCTTTTTCTAAATCGTCTTCATCATATAAATTGTTTTGAACTTCTGCAGGTAATGAAATGCTTGACAGTCCACATTTTATCGGCCCGAATATGGCGTTCATATGGCGTTCGATTGATAGTCCTGTGATATGAAGTGTTCTTTTGCCACTATTAAAATAAAAAAAATTATAGTAACAAATAAATGAAGTAAATAAAAAAATTTTAAATAAAAGAGAATAAAAAAATAAAATTAATGAAATATGATATATTAAATTAATGAAGAACATTCGAAATTAAATATAACGAGATAAAATAAATTAATAACCTGCACTTCAAAACAACCACGAGACCAGTTAGTTGATTGCTTATCGTGCATCCAAGCCCTCAAAATATTTTCCACGTCCGCATTGGCCCTTTTAACGCTGCCTTGTGATTGCGGGTGTCTTGGTCTGCCATGTATAATTTTGCAATGTGGCCAAATAAGGGAAAGTTCGTTAATTACACTGGCCACAAATTTTCTGGCAGGATATAAGGTGCGCCAAACGTGAAAAAGATTTTTGATAGTTTTTCGGCAACGTTTACTGCATGTTTCGACTTTAGCGGCCGCAAATGTAAAAATTTCGTCCCATGCTCCTGATAATTTAGCAACCAGCAACCGCATCTATTTTTCTCAAATTTGGCCCATATATTACTATCCATATGACTATAACTTTCTGCAATTTTGAACTCAAAATTCGCTTTTTTGGGGGAGTTATGGAGGGGGAAAGCAAAATAAAAAAACTTATTTTTCTCGAAAGCTATTAATGAAATTTTAAGAGGTTGTAAATATAGATAAGACAATTTTAGAAAAAAATTCAAAATTTTTTTTCAATAAAAATTTTCAAAAATTTTTTTTTAATTTTCAAAATTTTTTTTAGGGTTATTTTTTGAAGTGACCACTTTCTCTTTTGTTGTAAAAAGTACCTTATAATGTCCCCTTAACATGTATTTTTCCAAATTTTTTAAAAATATAGTTTTTGAGTAAAATGTCAAAAACCATGGTCATGCTATTTGTCACGTACGGTAATGCACATATATACATATGGGTCAAAATTCGTGAAGTGGGCAACTAATTTTCAGTTGGTCATGCTATTTGTCACGTACGGTAATGCACATATATACATATGGGTCAAAATTCGTGAAGTGGGCAACTAATTTTCAGTTGGTCAATAAGTTTTCATAAAATTTATGTTTTTCTGTTTGAAATAATAAATAAAAAATACAAGTTGAACAGTTTTGCAAAATTCGTTTTTTTGTTGTACATATTGTTAAACAAACTTTTTTGCATGAATTTAGAAAAGTTTTTTTTTAAAATAAAGTAATAGGTAAAATTTAATGATTTTTGGTATGGTTATATAAAAATAACACGATTTTTGATTAACATCTTTCATTTTAAAATTTAACGTAATTTGATAAAATTATAAACAATTTTTTTAAACAAATGAAAATAAATGCAACTTCTCGATCTGTTATTTTATTTTTCAAAATTGAATATTGTTCCTTATTTAATGCCCAAGTATTACCAAAAAGAAAAAATTGGTATTTTACATTTGTTCAAAAGAAATAAATAATTATGTTAATAATAATAAGCATTAAAAAATCATAAAATCTTAAAAATATTTTTTTTAGCTTCATTAATTAACAAAATTAATTAAAAAAACCTATTAAAATAATGTTTAAGTGTTTCTGATGTATGAAAAAAGTATAACAATTTATTAAATTGTTTAAACAATTAATTGTTGTTATTTTTTTAAATCTGCACTTAGGGCTGGAAATTTCTAGTTTTTTCTCAATAATTGTGCAATTTGTCAAGAGTAAAACATCTTGTAATGATAAAAAATAAAAAAAAAAATAAATTAAACATTGTTTAAACAATTAATTGTTATTTTTCTCATAAAGTGTACTTAGAGCTAGAAATATCTAGTTTTTTCTAAATTCAATCAACTAAAAAAATTAAATTTAAAAAAATAATAAAATAAATGTTAATAAATTGTTTAAACAATGGTTAAATAATAAATTTTTAGTTTTTCTATTACACTTAAGTGTTTAAGTTATATAAAAAATGTCACAATTAAGAAAAAACTAGGAATTTATAGTTTTAAGTACAGTAAATTGAAAAATTAATAGAATAAATTGTTTAAACAATGTTTAAATATTTAATTGTTTGCTTTTCTTTGATACTTAAATGTGGTAGTTACAAGAAAATGCACAATACAGAAAAAACTAGAAATTTCTAATCCCAAGTACACTTTATGAGAAAAATAACAATTAATTGTTTAAACAATGTTTAATTAATTTATTCTTTATTTTTTATCATTACCAGATGTTTTACTCTTGACAAATTGCACAATTATTGAGAAAAAACTAGAAATTTTTAGCCCTAAGTGCAGATTTAAAAAAATTACAACAATTAATTGTTTAAACAATTTAATAAATTGTTATACTTTTTTCATACATCAGAAACACTCAAACATTATTTTAATAGGTTTTTTTAATTAATTTTGTTAATTAATGAAGCTAAAAAAAATATTTTTAAGATTTTATGATTTTTTAATGCTTATTATTATTAACATAATTATTTATTTCTTTTGAACAAATGTAAAATACCAATTTTTTCTTTTTGGTAATACTTGGGCATTAAATAAGGAACAATATTCAATTTTGAAAAATAAAATAACAGATCGAGAAGTTGCATTTATTTTCATTTGTTTAAATAAATTGTTTATAATTTTATCAAATTACGTTAAATTTTAAAATGAAAAATGTTAATCAAAAATCGTGTTATTTTTATATAACCATACCAAAAATCATTAAATTTTACCTATTACTTTATTTTAAAAAAAAACTTTTCTAAATTCATGCAAAAAAGTTTGTTTAATAATATGTACAACAAAAAAACGAATTTTGCAAAACTGTTCAACTTGTATTTTTTATTTATTATTTCAAACAGAAAAACATAAATTTTATGAAAACTTATTGACCAACTGAAAATTAGTTGCCCACTTCACGAATTTTGACCCATGGGCAATTTCACGTGATAGGGTATAGCCAAATAAGTATGGAAAAAGTGACCTGAATATATTTTTCCCATTCATTCCTACCTACTTAAAAATAACTTTTTGAAATTTTTAACTCAAAATTTTGAGTTTTTTGGAACTTATGGAGGGGAAAAAATCGAAAAACGCATTTTTCTCAAAAACTACTGTATGCATTTTAATCAGCTTTGGATATAAAAAATTTTTTAGTTATATTAAAGTGACATTTTTATGTATTTTCTCATTTTATTCTCTTATGTTATCTACTTAATAAAAAAATTTTGTCCGACATGATTTCAGGGTGTGTCACGGTAAATAACTCAAAAACCCAACCCGGTACATTTTTATGTTGTATGTAAATGGTTAATTTTAAAAAACTTGTCAAATATTTTTGCAACTTATAACTAGTGGGTTATTGAGGTTGCTAAATACAAATCTGAAGTTGATATAAAAAAATATTTTTAGACAAACCGTGTCGCACTCTAAAATCGTCTAGGCCATTATTTTTTTAAAAGTAAGACTTTTAAAAAAGTTAAATAAAAAAGTGTGATGTACCGCTTCAACGATCCAAAAAGAAAAAAATTTTAAATGACAAAATAAAAATTTTTGGATTTTTCTTTGGAAATAATTTTTTTTGACATCGATTTCAGACTTATATTCAGAAAACCGCTAAGTATTAATTAATTAATTAAATAATTAATTAATTAACCATTCATATACAAAATAAAAATGTACCGGATAGGGTTTTTGAGTTATTTATTTATTTATTTATTTAATTAGATCAAGTTCCTAGGGCTTGGAGCCCACTAAGGAACTGTGTACATAAATTTACAACTAAGTAAATATTTATACAATTCTTAAAATTATATAACAAAAATGTAGAACTTAAAACTAAAATATATATTAAAAGTAAATAACAATTCTAAAGCAATTATAACTTCTGACAAAAATGATTCAAAAATAAACAAAGTGAGAAAAAAAAACAATTACCAATAAGTAATGTCAAAAAACCCACTAGTTTTTTTGAACAAAAAATCGAAAAATAGTTTTCTAAAAATAAATTGATTATTTGATTCCCTAATTACATTTGGTAGTTTATTCCATAATCTTGCACTTCTAACAATGAATGATCTCTGCATAATACATGTGCGATGAAAGGGTATATCTAAAATATTTTTCCTTTCTCGGAGTTTAGCAAAACATGATTGATTAACATTCTTGCATTTTATAAAGTCGAAAAGATATAAAGGAGTCTTATTATTAATAATTGAATAAAACAAGTTACCAATAAAATATTGTCTTCTAGTAGCAACATTTAATAAACCCGATTTAATTCTAAATGGAGTTATATGCTCAGTCTTAGGTAAATTATATACGAAACGAATGCAGGCGTTCAGTGCTCTTTCTAGTTTTTTATTAAGCTCATCCGTAATATCATCATAAACCTGACAGCAGTAGTCGAAGTTGGGAAGAACAAGTGCTTTTATTAAAATCAATCGAGTAGAAAATGGGAGAGAATCTTTACCACTTAGCAACAAGATCAATATCCATTTGCACCATTTTAAGTAAGTCAGAAAGTGAACTCAGCGGACCAGATAAATAAATTTTAAAGTCGTCTGCATTCTTATGAAATTTACAGAACTTTAGGTCTTTACCAAGATCAGAAATAAAAAGATTAAATAGAAGAGATGAAAGTGCTGCACCCTGAGGAACACCACACTCAAGTCTATCCCACTCTGAAAAATTACCACTTTCACCAATAACTCTCTGAAATCGAGAATCAATATAATTCCTAAACCATTTACACACTGAGTTCGACATATTGAAGGATCTTAGTTTGTCAATCAGTAAGTCATGGTCAACTGATGGAAAAGCTCGCGAAAAATCAAAAAAGACAACGACTGTAATAAATTTCGATTCCATCGCAAGCTTTATATCAGAAGTGAACTTAAGCATAGCAGTACAAGTACTGTGTTTAGCTCGAAATCCCGATTGAAAAGGTTCAAATAAACAATTAGCAGACAGATAAGATGTAACCTGACTGCAAACTATCTTTTCCAGAGGCTTTGATAAGGCACAAATAATAGATATTGC